TGCTGCTTCATGTTAATAATCCTCTCAGCATTATCCAGGGGATCGAGCCTGTTCCTGACATGGTACCATCACTTTCGAGAGAAAGCATTCTTTTTGACAAGCTAGCAGTTAGCAATGTGTTCCTGGGGAAATAGGCTAAGCGTTAAAGCTCATTGTTATTATCACAGGTTTGGTTATACAAATGTACGTGTTTTTTTTTAAAAAGGTAAACTTTCCTATGTGTGTTTTCAAAGATAATTCACATCGTTTATGGTCACGACAGTTACTATCTACAAACTTCTGGAAACTACGACCAAGTTACAACTGTACTGATGGCAGCTATGACAACAGGTGGGCGTAATTAGCAATCAGCGCATGCGCATTGACGTTTACCCAGACTCAGACATTTACTCAAGTAGGCTACTGTACTTAAGTAATACATTGAGGTAGCCTACTTGTACTTTGAGTATTTTCACATTATGCTACTTACACTTTTACTCCACTACATTTTGTAGGCAAATATTTCGCTTTTTACTTTCTCTACACTGTATCTGACAGCTTTGGTTACTTTGCGGATTTTGGTTATTAATGCAAAATATAAGTCAACTCATTACATTATCATTTATTATTATATGTTAATCTACTCAGTAGTACAGTAAATAGAGAATCTCAAATTAACCCCTCTTTTACCAAATGCAACATTGAAGTGATGAACACATTAATGCATCAATAATTAAAATAACTTATTTTTAAATATTAGTTAAATACAATAATTTAATATCGTGTTTAAATGGGCCATCATGCATAATGAGTACTTTTATATTTTGATGATAATACTTTTTAATTAACATTAACAAAGTATTTTTATACTGAAGTAATGCTACTTTTACTTCTTCCACCATTGCACACCATGAAAAACAACATTAAAATGTTTACCTTCATACATTAATACATAATAAAATTATTTTTGTTCGTTCTTTAACTACTCAGTACCACTAAAACCACACTTTTTGTATGCCAGCAGGTGGGCTGTTTTGCATTCAAACGTGATGTCACTCACTCAGTCAAGTTTATCTGTTGTCCAAAATCTAGGGAGTACTGGCCATCTTGCTATGAAATTGTCTGTGAATATTCGTAGTGGATAAAAGTTCATAGGCAGGAAACATAGCAACAGACTTTGGCAGGGACAGAGGAAATTAGAAGAGAGAAGAAATCACAAGAAAGACATAGAGTGGAGGGGAAGCGTTCTGGTTTCTTATTAAAAGAAGCCAACTCCAGTCCAGTTCAATGGGTAACATTCAAGTAGACGGTGTTTTTTTTTTTGCTTTCACCATATCATCCTGTGTAGATCAAGGAAACAATTATTATTCTACCTTCATTATTTTGAACTTCCCAAATGTAATAAGCGAAGCCTTGAACCACTAATTCCAAGTTCTAGACTCTCCTCTAATTTCTCATTCATGCCTCATGGATAGGCTTTGCATTTGTTTCAGTTTATTCAGTAGGCAGCATTTCTTTTTTATTTAATGCGTTATGTTATTCATTTTCTTGAGTTTTATACCACTGAGTACCCAACCTTTTTAAAACAAACCAAATAGGCTCCAAATTATTGTTTTTTTGCCACAACAATGGCACTAAAGCAGGTCTATTACCAAGAATTTGGCTGCAATTTGGTGTTTCTTTCACATCCGTGCTAGTTCTCTGTCTACATTTCCTTCCGCTTTGGTTTTCTGGTAAACTAACCAATGTTTTATAGAGTCCTGTTCTCATTTAATTTTCTAAACCACAAAGATTTCACATCATTTAAAACGACTCAGCGCCATGTCTTCAGAAAGGGTTTATGATGGATTTGTTCTATATGTGCATCTTGTTTGGACATTAAATGACATGCATAAACAAAGCAAGAAAAAATATACACACATTGCAGATCTTGAACACTCAAAAATGAATACAGAGCGTTCATAGCTTTTCTTAATGTCTTTCATTTTTTGTAAAGCACTTTGAATTGCCTTGTGTTGAAAAGTGCTATATAAATAAACTTGCCTTGCCTTGCCTTGCCTTGCCTTGCCTTGCCTTGCCTTGCCTTGCCTTGCCTTGCCTTGCCTTGCCTTGCCTTGCCTTGCCTTGCCTTGCCTTGCCTTGCCTTGCCTTGCCTTGCCTTGCCTTGCCTTGCCTTGCCTTGCCTTGCCTTGCCTTGCCTTGCCTTGCCTTGCCTTGCCTTGCCTTGCCTTGCCTTGCCTTGCCTTGCCTTGCCTTGCCTTGCCTTGCCTTGCCTTGCCTTGCCTTGCCTTGCCTTGCCTTGCCTTGCCTTGCCTTGCCTTGCCTTGCCTTGCCTTGCCTTGCCTTGCCTTGCCTTGCCTTGCCTTGCCTTGCCTTGCCTTGCCTTGCCTTGCCTTGCCTTGCCTTGCCTTGCCTTGCCTTGCCTTGCCTTGCCTTGCCTTGCCTTGCCTTGCCTTGCCTTGCCTTGCCTTGCCTTGCCTTGCCTTGCCTTGCCTTGCCTTGCCTTGCCTAATGATTAAAGGGGAGATTGTATTCCAAATATTGTATTTTACCCCACTTCATTTATGTAGTACCTTAAGTTACTTTGCATATGATATAAAACATAATCAGCATTTCAATAAGACTTTAGTTACACTTGGACTAAATTCACAAAACACCCAGCAGTAACCAAAATAATAAAAAGATAGTTTCACCTTTATGATGAATATGCATCAATAGGCCTATATATAATCATAACATATGTACTATTTTGAAGTGGGTCAATCTGCATAATGAGTACTTTTACTTTTGGTACTTTAGTTATATTTTGATGCTAATACTTTTGTACTTTTACTTGAGTACATTTTTTTTTAATGGAGGGCTTTTACCAGAGTATTCTTACACTCAGGTACTTCTACTTTTACAAGAGAATTACTTCTCCCACCTCTGCATAATACATACTGTAGATCTTTGAGGCCACTTTACTGGACACTGGCATAAGGACAACTCACACAAAATATGTAAAGCATATTTCAATGAAAACTAGTAGTAGTAGTATAATCCCATCTCACTGTTGAAGTTACGTTGGTATAACTTTAGGGATTCTGACTGTATGACAGGGAAGTTATTAAAATAATGTATAAAAGTAGGTCTAATGGCATTGGACTTTGCAGACTATCCATGCTCACATAGTCTCTCCTCTGGTTACAGTCAGAGACCATGTAAGTATTCCAGCTCGAAGGAAGGCGAGTATTGGCTTGCTTCATTGAACAATTGGGTTGTTAGGTGACTTAATTTGTGTTTTAACAACGATTTGTTTACGAGATATGATCCGTAGAGTTCTAATCCGTCAGTATCTTTCTAACTTAAAGGGGACCTATCAGCAAAATGCACTTTTGTACAACTTTTATATATGAATATGTGTCCCCGGTGTTCCAGGGACTCACCAAGTGTCAGGAAAACACAACCCTCTCTATTTTCCTCCATACCCAATCTCTAAAAGGGGCTGCAAACGGATCTGATATAGACTGAGCCAGAATTTGAACACTGTCCTGAGGTCAGAACGGTGGCGCTACGGTCTATTGGTCAATTCTCCACCTATCAGGGGAATGAGAGGTTGGGCCACGGCCGGCCATGCTGCTCGAAAGCGCTGGAGACGCTGTAGTACATATGCCAGGCCTGTAAGTGGCGCTGTAGTCTGCCACAAAAGCAGCGAAGAAGACTTCCCTTGCATGGTTGCCCTTCTGTTTATTCTCCGCTGTGGCTCTTTTTCTCCCTCCCCGAGGCAAGCGTTTGCGCCTCCTGCTTTAAAACAAATGAATAATGACTCTATCCTGATCAGCCTGTCGGTGTTCTTTTCCCCATATGAACCCGTCGCTGTACATTATCCCGCTTATTACATGGCCACATTCTCAACAAAGTAACGACATGACTCCCAATATTAATTTAAATGATTTTATGGATTTAGAAAATGATTTTAATTGATTTAAAAAATAGTTGTATTGATTTAAATTGACATGCATCCGCTAAGAAAAATAGTCCGTTGTTACTGTTTGAACTAACGTAGCAATGGCAGGAACTGCTTCGATAGTGTTTTTTGAGGAGCTTTTTGATTACAGATTTGAAAACATCGTTGCTTGCTTTAAAAGTAGCACAATTCATTATGTCAAACCTTGGAAAGTATCTAGATATCCCTGCCCTAATGCCAAAGTAACTGCCAACTCCCCTCTCCTGCAGGGGGGCGTGGTCAGTTGCAGCTCACAGAATCAGCCCCCTGCAAAAACAGGGCTGGAAAGAGCAAATAGAGCGAAATGAGGCATGGCTAAAATGCAGGATCTGTTTGGTATTTTGAAAAAATATATATATTGATATACTTTATATAGGTATGGCCCTACAATATATGTTGCAAATATAGCATGATAGGTCCACTTTAACTGAACTCCTACACGCTGCTGTGGGCAACCCACGTAGAGAAAGAGCTACGTAATCTCCCTCTGTGTGTGTGTGTGTGTGTGTGTGTGTGTGTGTGTGTGTGTGTGTGTGTGTGTGTGTGTGTGTGTGTGTGTGTGTGTGTGTGCACGCGCGCGTGTGCGTGTGTCACATACAGACAGACAGACAGACAGCAGTCTCTTCTCGATCGTGTAGGAGGAGGCGTCTGTGAAACCTGTGGAGGTCTGTCTGTCCCTCTGTCTGTGTCCGTCTGTCTGCTCGGGTGGCACCACCCACTCGTCCTTCGTCTTTTAGAGTAGGCTAGTTGTAGTTTGGAGACGATAAACCGGTTTTACTACCCTTTGGGAGAATCTCTGCTGTCATCCCGGAAGACTCATCACATTCTCGTCGTAAAGGAAGTGAAAGCAAACAGGTGCGTGAGCCACATTTATCAATTGTTTTAATCAATTATCTAGAAATATCAGCTCAAGAGCTATTTCATTTCTCTATATCACATTGCAACATGATACTAGATCAGTTTTCTTTAATGGTTAGTGAATCCATTCATGTTTTTCTCAGTGGGGCTGTAACCAGATCCTACAGGTGGGATTTCAGCTCCCTCATTCGCTCAGATATTTCACACGGCAATACTGGCTTGACAAACCTGTTTTAGACAAAAGTAGGGCGGTGGCATTTTTGTCTTGTGAAACGTTTTAATACCAAGCGCTTGGATCCGGGAGTGCCTTCTCATTGCGTCTGTTTTACCATCCTCACAGTTGTGCGTGTTCATATTGGAGCCAATATCAGCCATGGACGCTTTAATGAAAGGTTTCTCTAAAGCCAAGGATGGGGTCGTGTTGGCGGCGGAGAAACCAAGCAGGGAGTGACTGGAGCAGCTGAGATGACGAAAGATGGGGTTATGTTTGTAGGTGGGTACTGGCAAATGGCAATTGATTTGATTGATCATGGTAAACCTTTAAATCCTTGATGATTGATTTTTTATTGTCAATATCATCATTATCATAGCAGTATTCTGACTATTAAGCATTTCATATAGGCTACTGTCTATTATGTTTCACATTTTCACTGATTGAGCTTCACCTGCTTTCTTTTCAGGTAACAAAACAAAGGATGGAGTCACAACAGGTAACATATTTATATTCTAACGTAATGTAACTGTTATACTCTCTTGCTGCTCTGAAAAAATATCAATGTTCACATTTCCAAAATACACCACTTTTTTACGAGTAAATCTTTGAAATAAAAGCAACACGATAGTATTCTCACTGGAGGTGGTCAGTAATAGAGTTGTATACTCTGCAGGTGAGTAAGTGTCATATTTCACACCGCCGACAAAACCTGCCCAACTCCCAATGGGCCATGCCTTGCCATTTCTCATAAATAACAAGCAAATAAGCCACAGGAGTCTTCATATAGGCATCTAGGGGAATAGTATTGTTGTATCATCAGTGGGACCAAGTAGCCTTCATTGGGGATCGTGACCCTCAGTAGAGCAGCTTTGTTGTGAATGGATATATTAACTAAACATTTATATTACTTACTTTAAGAATGAAGCCTCACTGGATTAAACAAAACACATCTACCAGAAACCTTTCCAATCACAACAATACATTTACATAAAAGTAACCAGATGAACTCATATGCAAAATCCCACATTACAATAGTACAAACGTTGATAGACGGGGTGAAACTCAGTGAAGTCTTTGAAATGCCTCCAGGCAATTTGTGAGGTTGCTCATTTAATGTATTGAAACATGCTAATAATAGAGTCTTTAATATCTCTATAGGGTTAATCTATTTAATTCTTCTTTTTCTTCTTCAGCTGTGTCTGGAGTGTCTCAGGTGGGTGGAGCAATGGTTACTGGGGTTACCGCTGTGGCCCACAAAACTGTAGAGGGTGCAGGAAACATTGCTGCTGCCACTGGATTGGTCAAGAAGGATCCTGCCAAACAAGTAAGAAAGATACTCTTTGTTTTAAGCTGAACTGAAAGAAAAATGGCCTCTGGAAAAGCCCAGCCAGTTTGATCATCAATTTAAATTTCAGTGAAAAATTACAAGTTTCAATCTCATACATTTTTGTTCCTTGTTTAAGTGGTAGGCCTACCTATGGAGATAAGTGAGAGTCAGTGATAGACTCAATCACCATAATGTTACTTAATTCAGTGAAATATTGTGACTTAACTGACATGTAATATCTCCCCAATCATTACTTCCGTACTTACACACTAACCACATGCTCACACTTCTCTAGAGACACATTGATTTACAATATGTAGCACATCTTTAAAGTTTGCGTTATAGAACATCCCTCCATTTCATGACAGAGGCTGTCAGCTGGCTAGAAATCTTCCCTGTGCCAAGATGGCCTCCTAACCTTGAGTCATTTGTTATCACTTCTCATATCGCCTGTGTGGCATCTGTAATGAAAGCCGCTACATAATGTTAGCTTTCCTGCTTTGTTCATCTTGTCAGCCTGGCCATCGTTTATCTAAAGGAGGAGGAGGAGGTGAAGGCAGTTTACTGTAGCAAACAATTTGCTGCTGCGAAACAACTCAAATACAAAAAATATATATATATTTTACACTTTTCTTTTCTACCGTCACCTTTCTCTAGCAAATATTTGCTGCTGTTATTGTAGACTTTTTGCTCAGAGCCAACACTGAGGCCATGTCTTTGTCATTTTTACTGGGAATTTAGGGCTGTTGATGGCTTCACAAAGAATAATACTGCAAGTTAAACATGGTACAGTGTACATATTTTAAGTACAATGTTTTGTGAGAAAGGTACAACATCCCTAAACAAAAATCCGTAAACAAATCTTTACATTAGAGGAACACTCGTTTTTTTACGCTCTTTCGTTGACCAACTATAGCAGTAACATCGCCCTATGGTTTGTATCACGATAAATATGGCTTATTATCCTAGGATTACCCTCTCTATTCTCATAAGATTGCTGACAGGAGTAGGAAATGATAAACCAGCTAATGTCTCCCTGGGCAACAGCATCACTTTATTGAATATTTGTTGTGATGCTTCATCTCGATCCCCTAATTAGTGAAGAAACACAATTTGAACACCACGAGATAACAGCACACACACACACTTTTCTTCAGCTCTGCTTTAATTTGCTGTTTTGAGTGAAAAGTACCTTATGAAAGATCAGATTAGACACCTAATAAATGGATCATAGTTCTTTTAATCGTAAGCGATGAAATCATTCATTCACTACCGCCGCTTTGCAATCCTTCAGTTGCCGGCATTTTAGTTCATTAACAAACGAAGCCTGATTGTATTTCCGCACAAACATCCATTGAATTCTTTTAATCCTCGTAGAAGCGGTTGTGTTATCAATTATTCAGTTCATGCATGTAGATGGTTGATATTCACCCTGAGGGATAAAACACTGATGGGAGCTCCACCTGGAATGTGATTCATTCCGCATTAAGAAAAACCATGACGAGCCAAGCTGGCAGGCAGCTCGGACAGACAGATGGACAAACAGACCAAGGAGTGGAATAACACACATAACAAAAGCTAAATCCCTGTTTTCATGGCGAGAGATTGACACACTGACAGCAGCAGATTGAGCTCCACTTTATTCCCAGGTGGTGCAGCTATTAAACTTCATTAATATTGATTTCATTTTAAAAAATTGATGCCGGGTTGAGAGGGCCCATCAAGACTGTCTCCTGTGACACACACACACACACACACACCACACACACACAACACACACACAACACACACACACACACACACACACACACACACACACACACACACACACACACACACAACACAACCACACACACACACACACACACACACACACACACACACCCACACACACACACACACACACACACACACACACACACACACACACACCCACACACACACCACACACACACACACACACCAAAACGGAGGTGTCTGATTAATCTCATTTAGCTGTTTCACCAATTCAGCAGCTGCTGTGACTCATTTCAAGAGACAGAAAAGGCCAGAGATGTACACTGAACAAAAATATAAATGCAACACTTTTTTGCTCCATTTTCATGAGATGAACTCAAAGATCTAAAACATTTTCTATATACACAAAATAACCATTTCTCTCAAATATTGTTCACAAATCTAAAAACTCTGTGATAGTGAGCACTTCTCCCTTTGCCGAGATAATCCATCCCACCTCACAGGTGTGGCATATCAAGATGCTGATTAGACAGCATGATTATTGCACAGGTGTGCCTTAGGCTGGCCACAATAAAAAGGCCACTCTGAAATGTTCAGTTTTATCACACAGCACATGCCACAGATGTCGCAAGTTTTGAGGGAGCGTGCAATTGGCATGCTGACAGCAGGAATGTCCACCAGAGCTGTTGCCCGTGAATTGAATGTTCATTTCTCTACCATAAGCCGTCTCCAAAGGCGTTTCAGAAGATTTGGCAGTACATCCAACCGGCCTCACAACCGCAGACCACGTGTAACCACACCAGCCCAGGACCTCCACATCCAGCATGTTCACCTCCAAGAATCGTCTGAGACCAGCCACTCGGACAGCTGCTGCAACAATCGGTTTGCATAACCAAAGAATTTCTGCACAAACTGTCAGAAACCGTCTCAGGGAAGCTCATCTGCATGCTCGTCGTCCTCATCGGGGTCTCGACCTGACTCCGGTTCGTCGTCGTAACCGACTTGAGTGGGCAAATGCTCACATTCGATGGCGTCTGGCACGTTGGAGAGGTGTTCTCTTCACGGATGAATCCCAGTTTTCACTGTTCAGGGGCAGATGGCAGACAGCGTGTGTGGCGTCGTGTGGGTGAGCGGTTTTCTGATGTCAATGTTGTGAATCGAGTGGCCCATGGTGGTGGTGGGGTTATGGTATGGGCAGGCGTATGTTATGGACGACGAACACAGGTGCATTTTATTGATGGCATTGTGAATGCACAGCGATACCGTGACGAGATCCTGAGGCCCATTGTTGTGCCATTCATACCACGACCATCACCTCATGTTGCAGCATGATAATGCACGGCCCCATGTTGCAAAGGATCTGTACACAATTCCTGGAGGCTGAAACATCCCAGTTCTTGCATGGCCAGCATACTCAACCCGGACATGTCACCCATTGAGCATGTTTGGGATGCTCTGGATCGGCGTATACGACAGCGTGTTCCAGTTCCTGCCAATATCCAGCAACTTGGCACAGCCATTGAGAGGAGTGGACCAACATTCCACAGGCCACAATTTACAACCTGATCAACTCTATGCGAAGGAGATGTGTTTGCACTGCGTGAGGCAAATGGTGGTCACACCAGATACTGACTGGTTTTCGGACCCCCCCAGACCCCCCCAATAAAGCAAAACTGCACGTTTCAGAGTGGCCTTTTATTGTGGCCAGCCTAAGACACACCTGTGCAATAATCATGCTGTCTAATCAGCATCTTGATATGCCACTCCTGTGAGGTGGGATGGATTATCTCGGCAAAGGAGAAGTGCTCACTATCACAGATTTTTTCAGATTTGTGAACAATATTTGAGAGAAATGGTTATTTTGTGTATATAGAAAATGTTTTAGATCTTTGAGTTCATCTCATGAAAAATGAGAGCAAAAACAAAAGTGTTGCATTTATATTTTTGTTCAGTGTAGAAGGAGAGGAAAATGACAATGAGACCGAGAGTGGAAGCTAGAGTGGCTCGGAGCTGAGGAGGCAGAAATAGAAAATGGTCTTAATAACAAACACGTCTTATTGCTCGGATCTTTTCAGCGACATGCAATAAAAGAGGATGCTGAATTTCAGGTCCCTAGAAAGCAATTTCTGCTCTAAAACAATTCAGATTGGAGGCGAGGCATTACTTTGATTTTGCTTCGTAAGACAGTTTTCACAGATACATTTGATTTGGTAATACCTCATAACTGAACAAATCTTTAACCTTTTGCCTAAATTGTATCTGGCTACAGTAGACACGTTGGTGTGGATGTATGTGTGTGTGTTCACACAAGCACACATCTCTCTGGCTCTGCTGGGGTAAACAGATGGAGGCTCGATGGGTGGTGTTAAATCCAGCAGCAGGAGGAGAAGGTGCTTCAGGGTTTAAGGTTATGTCAGCCGCCGGTGAGCACGTCACACACACACACACACACACACACACACACACACACACACACACACACACACACACACACACACACACACGTGCACACTTCACATACTGGGACCGCTCCCCATTAAGGAAGGTCATTTCAATGGCACGTTGTAATCGGAGCGTCCTTTCAGCGAGACTGGAGACGTCACACACACCTCCACCTCCCTCCCCTTCATTAGCACTTCAGATCAGCATCCCACTCAGTCAAAATGGCCACCAATCATAATGTCCGTCATGAAATGAGTGCCTTTTAATGTATTAATAGACAAAGCAAGAGTGGGGTGAATTATGTGAGTTGTTTATATTTAAATGTGTTGTATGAAATTGCATAAATGATGGCATAATGGCAGTAAGTGCTTCCAGATGTTGTTCTCATCGTCTGGAGGTGCAACTAATGATTAGTTGATTGATTGATTAATCTGCTTATGAGTATTTTTTTTACATGTGTTATCTCTATACACTTTAAAAATAGGAAAGGAAAATGCTTATGATTTTTTCCCATACTCCAAAGTCAGTTGCAAAACGTTACACTGAGAAGCTGGAACCATAATTTGTTTTCTTTATCAACTGATGTCTCATCAAACAAATGTATTTCAAGTTTTAAAAATATATATTTTTGTCTTTTCCCAGACTGACGAAGCAGTACAGGACATGGCAGAGTCACCGGTTGATACTGACCCCGCTGATGTTACAGAGGTAAGACTAGCAACAGTCAATAATAATTACTATATGAAGCTGTATTTCATTCTTATAGAAGAATTAGTGAATTGACAGTCAGACAGGATTTTTTTCTGACAAGATCTAAATTAAAAACCTCTGTAACCGTTACATTAGAACATTTTAAAAGCGATGTTTAAAAGCAGATCTCGGGAGCCTTGAGACATTAAAAATATATAATTGAGTCCACATTCATCTGAGTACTCCATACATAAATAAGATGTTATTTAAACCTGAAGGGAGCTACTACTGGATCATGGGGTTATATTGCATAATATACTACTATTTTCAGCGCCCGTCTTTTGTCCTTCGTCTTTCTCAGGACGACGATGATTGAGATCTTCACAATGAAGAGCAAAGATCCATATCGAAGATCATGATCAAAACATTCCATGTCGCTCTGTGCCAAGTCCGTTGGTGCCTCGTTTTGGTCCTTTATGGAGTCTGTGCCCAACGTTTGTGTGGCGTGTGTTGTTTCTGTCTGTGTTTGCTACGTATGTCTGTACAGCAGTGAGTATGTGTAATGTTGTAAAGGGAAAAAGAGAGGGTGATGTGTGTGTGTGTTGGTGTGTGTGTGTGTGTTGTGATGATGTAGGTAGTGTGTAGTGTGTGTAATATGTGGTGATAGTGTGTGTGGTGTGTGTGTGTGTGTGTGTGTGTGTGTGTGTGTGTGTGTGTGTGTGTGTGTGTGTGTGTGTGTGTGTGTGTGTGTGTGTGTGTGTGTGTGTGTGTTGTGTGTGGTGTGTGTGTGTGTGTGTGTGTTGTGGTGTGTGTGTGTGTCACACCATCCGTCCTAAAAGGGACCAGATGTCATTTACAGTGTGTATGTGTTTGTCTTTATGTATGTTTCTTGTCAACTGTATGGCTATGTCAATAACTCAAACATGGAAATGTACCACTTCAAGCACCTAAGTGTCTCTATATAAATTACCAATTTACAGTAATCTGTTTGAAATGGAAGCATAATGATAATCTCTATTTTTGTCTGTAAACCGTCACTGTTTTTTGCAGTGGACTATATAAAGTGCTAAGCTATTTGTGCATTCATATTGTATTTTTTAAGTTATCACTGCTGTAACAGAAATATATCATATTGAATGGACTTTTGGAAACCAAGGGCATGTACAACTACTCTGCTTGTGATATGGATTAATTTGGAGTTAAATGTTTAATAAAATGTGTACAAAAACAAAAAGTGAGATGTGGCTGATGTTTTCTTTTTAATTTAGTGACTCCCGTTTTGATCATTTTTTCAGAAAAATAAATAAATTGATATTTGTATTCACACTGTAAACGCAACAAAATCACTGCAAGCCTAAACTAAGACAATGTAACATTTTGATGCCTAAACTCTGCATGTCAAGCCGCCTATCCCTCTCATTATCTAACGAGGAACTAGGTTAAAAAACAGCCAGCAACAATAACGTCTGTCTTTCTGTTGGTAAGCCAGATGTAAACCAAAAACATGTTCCTGTTCAAAGGATTTGAATATATCTGGCAAGAATATAAGAATGTGTGATTAAACGTACTGTTATTTTCATCAGAGAAAAATATGTTTTTAAAGGCAGCAATCTTCCTGCACAGTATGTTATTACAAAAGAACATGTTGGCCTTCATGCAGGCTCTATAACGTGAGAGGAGGAGGAATACTGTTGTTCACCACACATCCATCCACAGCCGCACCACTTGAGAGCAGGTATTTCACATTTGGCTTAATTTGAATTTTCTCCCAAAAAGTGAAAGCATGTTTCATTTCTTCCAGATTTTAAAACAGCCTTTGTGAATCACTCCAGCAGTTTACATAAAGATCTGTGCTCCCTAGAAACAGAGTGAGTCATTTAAATTCTACTTTTCACTTCCAATTGGTACTAATGAATCCTGCAGAGAGCCCTGCACTTGTTATTGTATAAACCTGTCAACTAGTGTTTCCTGTGTGGTCCCTGCTGACTCCTTGTTGTTATTGTTCACCGGGGCTCCATATAGACACGTCCACTGTGAAAACAACATGACGTTCAGGATTTATATTGTTTTCTGATTTATTTTGGCCAGAGCTAAGAGGATCCCTGAACAGAACGATGCTGACATTTTGGGAGAATAGATGTTTTTGTGCATATTATAAAAATGTATTATACTTAGTGAAAGGGCTGGAACTTTACATTTGACTGGATTTGTTTGTTTATCAACTTTATCACAGTTTTGTCTGAGAAATACATGGAAAATAGCAGCCATGTACTTAAGTCCTAAAGTCAATAAATGACTGTGCTACTTGAGAAGATGGTCATGATCCAGATGGTCGTGATCCAAGAGCATATATCTCGGGTAGCACACGCTGCACGTTTTACATTTATATTTAATATTCCATTCCCTACACTCTTAATGTATATAATGTCCTGCTTTTGGGCGGCAGTGGCTCAGTCTGTAGGGACTTGCCCCTGGGACCGAAGGGTCACCGATTCAAAGTCCCAATCGACCAAAAAACCATGGAGTGGACTGGTAGCTAGAGAGGTGCCAGTTCATCTCCTGGGCCCTGCTGGGGTGCCCTTGAGCAAGGCACCGAACCCCTAACTGCTCCCAGGCGCCGGCTAGACTGGCAGCCTCTTCGCTCTGGCCCTCTCCAGATGCATGTGCATTCTGTATAGTGTGTATAACTGTGTGTGTATTGCATGTGCATATGCACTGTTTTAAACAAAAATACAAGCCAGAGTGAAAAACTGAATTTCCCCCTAGGGAAAACATTTATAATCTTCTTTATAGTGTCTAAAGCCCTTCAATAGTGTTTTATTGTCAGAGTATATCGATTTTGTACCTTCATGGTCTACTGTATATTTTCTAGTGTTTATTTCTACTTATGTGCAATGTCTTGTTTTGTTGTTTTTTATGCTGCTGCAATGCAAACATTTCCCAATGTGGGATCAATAAAGTACCTCTTATCTTATCTCGATGTCTATCTACACATAGCTGTGGGGCTGTTGTTTAATTCTCATTTTAAAACATTTAATAAAGCAAAAACTGGCTCCTCTCCCTCATAAGACGCCCACTGAGCAATGCACACATTTTATGTAACAGTTCAAGTCATGAGGTTAGCATTGCCCTCTACCGAGCATTTGACTTAGTAATGATTTTACAAGTTCATCAGGGTTGGAATAAACCTAAATACCAGCTTAACTGGAGAAACATACCAATTATTGATGGAAAAGAACAGTCATTTATTTGTTCTGTATTCAAGCACATAATATGGATGGTTTCTGAGGAGAATAAAGGAATAAGAAAACCCAGTAATCTCTGTTGTGTTGACTGACACGTCCAACAACAGTATCCCGATCGTCACATCCAACGCCTACATCATAATATTTGACAACTCTTTGCATTTCTGACAGCGATTTGACAGTCTAAAATGCATGTTGCAATAAAGAAGGTACATGTATCCTCTTGTGATTAAAAATGAATCTTTTAAGCACAAAACAGTTCCCAGTTCCACCAAATTCAACCTTGTACAGGCTGTTGGATGTCCATATGACGGGAAACAGGTGATGGAGAGAAGCGATGAAGACTTTTACTTGTTCTTCCTCCTCTTCAGGGCCTTCCACTCTCCCTCCTGAGTGGCTAAGCTTCCGAAGAGCTCCCTCACCTTCTTCTTTCTCTCCGAATCTCTGAAAGGCAGAACGAGTCGACAGTTAGAAGCTTTTACTAACAGAAGCATTTTAGAGAAACATTTTGGTTCACTTCCTCATGGATCCTGGTGTTATCCGTACCTCTCCATGACCTCGTTGAGCTTCTCTCTGGCCAGGAAGCGCGTGTCCTTCCTGATCTCCCTCAGAGCGCCCTTGAACTCCTTCTTGTACTTGTGCTTCAGTCGCTCCCTCTCCCTCTCCTCTCTGTTGCTTCCACGCTTCTTTCCATAGTCCAATCTGAAAAATATTTAAGAAGCAGATTAGATATTTATAACAGAGGCACAGCTAGCAGGTCAGCATCTCAGCTTTTGGAAATCATTTCAACACAAATGAAAACGTTTGTACTCATTTCACACTTACATTTCAACAATCTTGGGTGTGAGCAGCTTCAGAGGAATGGGCTTCTTCTTCTCTAAAATCAGCCGACTGTGGGCCGCAGGAACACCGCTGATGATCTCCAGGATCTCACTGTGGAGCTCCTGCAACAACACAAGTGTTATAAGTGAGAAAAAACTGACGATATGATATGTTGAGAGAAAAATTGAAAAAGATAGATCTTGCTATTTCAAAACAACTATGACACCAACCTTTAAAGGATCTGGTAACGCTTGGGCTGAAAGATGTTTGGAAAGCAGCGTTCTGATTGGCTGGAAGATGTGTGAGAAAGACATGAGGTCTTTGTAGAGCAGGCAGCAGCGCTTCACCAGGTCCAGGCAGGTAGACAGACACGTCAACCTGCAGAGAGACAAAAACATGGATCAACATCTCGGTTTTATTTTATTTGGTCTTTGTCTCGTGGTATTAGCCTCCTTAGCAACAGCGCTATCACACCCATAGCACTCTGCATAGCAAAGGCATTCATGTGTCTTTTATTTGTAATGAGTTTAGTAAATGTGGGTTGTTCTTATAAGTTTTTTATAAAAAATGTGACACAGCCGTGCTTCCAGCTTGCTTTCTGAATGTTACGATGCCCGAAACATGCTGATTTTACGTGTCATTCTTACCATGTCTGATCCGGATGTCATTACTTTTGCAGTTTTTGTTCATTTTGGAGAAATTAGTATACATTTAAAATTTGATATGTTGGTTCTGAGAACCATTAAATATTACAATGCATCCTGAGGGGGCCATGAATGTACCAAACCATCATGGGAATCCATCCAGTAATTGTCGAGAAATGAAACCCTTAGCCTTGTAAAGGCAGAAATAAATCAAGGGATCGTGAAAACAGAGGATTTTTCATCAGAAAACAGATGTCTGTACAAAAAGCTTGTGCTAATCAATCTGGACTAAAGTGGTGGCACGACAAACAGACAGGCCAAAGATAACAAAATATTTAATGAGCGAGAATCAGTGGGCTTAACAGAATGTAGAAAAAAAAGTTCACAGAAACACTGAGCAACCTGACGGCCAGAAGAGATGCATAACAGTTAGAAAATCAAACGGAAGCTCCTTCTACCGTTTCTAGTAGAAGATCTATTCCAAAGTCCCCAAATAGATGTGCATTCATTTTATCACATTAAGACACACTTTGGCATTCACAGTGAACACTCTGTTCTTCTCCACCCAGATGCTGCTATACCTTGGCAGTAATTAGCACATGTAGTAGACAGACCACACACACACACACGGCTGGTGGTGAGGCATGTGAGGCCTGAAGGAGAGCAGGGATCAGAATATGGCCCCCAGGTGTGAGGAGCAGGAGGAACACGCAGCGACAAGATATGGATTCACAGAGTAGAGGCAAGCATCTGTGTGATTTATTAAGATTTCAAATACTATAACAGCTGCTTTGAAAAGAAAGCATTGGAT